CCTAACAACCCAAAACGAAGACATTGATTTATCCAAAAAATATAGCTTTAATAGAGGTATAATTCACATACTCTAAAACTCACCCTTTTAAAGTGTACAGTTCAGGGGGTTTAGTATATTTACAAAGTTATGCAATTATTAATGCTGTCTAGTTCTGGAAAATGTTTACCACTCCCCCAAAAGAAAGCTTGTACCCATAAGTGCTCACTCCCCATTCCCCATTAGTGCCTTTCCCTCACTATACTTAATGTCTTATTCTGGACATTTCATATAAATGGAGTTATTGATACATTATGTGGTCTTTTGTGTCTGACTTCTTTCACTTAGCATAATGTTTACAATATGTTTATTTGCAGTGTCACTTTGTAATTATGAAAAGCTAGAAATAATCAGAATATCTACTTGAGGATTGGTTAGATAAATTATGGCATTTCCATATAGTGGAATACTGTACAGTCATTAGGAGAAACACTTAGGAGGGGGGCCAGGGTGGCTCAGTCAGTTGAGCGTCCAACTTTGGCTCAGGTCATGATCTCGTGGTTGGTGAGTTCAAGCCCTGTGTTGGCCTCTGTGCTGACAGCTCGGAGCCTGGAGCCTGCTTCAGATTCTGTGTCTCCCTCTCTCTCTGCCCCTCCCCCACTCTCTCTCTCTCTCTCTCTCTCTCTCTCTCTCGCTCTCTCAAAAATAAACAAGCATTAAAAAATTTTTTAAAGAGAGAAACACTTAGGAAAAATATTCAATGATGTAATACAATGATCAGTGGCACACTATAAGCAATTACTTTATAAATGTATTCAGAAATATTCTTTTTTTAATGTTTATTTCTGAGAGAGACAGAGCACGAGCGGGAAAAGGGCAGAGAGAGAGGGAGACCCAGAATCCAAAGCAGGTTCCAAGCTCTGAGCTGTCAGCACAGAGCTAGATGCGGGGCTCGAACTCATGACCTGAGCCTTAAGTCAGATGCTTAACTGACTGAGCCACCCAGGCGCCCCCAGAAATATTCTGAAGTCTAGGAGTATACAAAATATTTACAGTGGCTTTTTTTTTTTTTTTTTTTTTTTTTTTTTGGTACTGCGATCATGGACGATCTCCCTGTATCGTCCTAGTTTTCTTCAATGATAATGTTTCATTTCCGTAGTCAGAAAAATAAACCCATTTAGAAGCCACACCCCTCCCTCTGCTGTGCACACCCCTCCCTTCATCCTCAACCCTTCTGAGCAGAAACGGTCCCTCTCCTCTCCCGTCCCTCAGACCAGGTCCGCAACAGCTACTACATCGGGGCAGACGGCTCCCTGCGGCTGCTGCTGGCCAACGGCATGGAGGTGGCACTGCAGACAGAGCCCCATCTGCTGGCCGGCACGGTCAACCCCACTGTGGGCAAGCGGAACGTCACGCTGCCCATCGACAACGGCCTCAACCTGGTGGAGTGGCGGCAGCGCAAGGAGCAGGCGCGGGGCCAGGTCACCGTGTTCGGGCGCCGGCTGCGGGTGAGCAAGGCCTGCTCCAGGCGGGGCTCCGCCCCTGGGGGTGGCTGGGGCCCTAGCGGGAGAGAATGAGGACCGATCCGGAGAACTGAGTTCTGTTCTTGAAACTGGCCCTGGGGGAGAAAGTGTTCCTGGGCCCCCTGCCAAAGGAGGAAGGTAAAGTAGGCAAACCTCACTTAATAAGAAATCTCGAATCTCTCTTCCGTTGTGGCAAGATCACCGGCTTTGGTGTTAGGCCTGAGTTGGATTTCCAGCTTCTGTGATACCCGGACTGAATTTCAGCCCGTCCGTGATGCCATTTCATTCATCCGGAGCCTCAGTCTCATTCTCCAAAAAAAATGGGAAGGATGAATCAATTTTACAAGTTGCGACAAGAATTGGAAATAATATACAGAATGCCTCATACCGAGCCTTGCACACAGGAAGTGGTCAATAACCTACTCCTGTTGTTCCTGCTATTCTTACTACTATGTTCTTATTAATATCTAGCAGAATCCAGTTTAGCTATTTGGAACCTAAGCCACATCCTCCACTCCTTCCAGGCAGTTGTCCCCTTACTAAGTGAGCAAAACGACCCCCAACCCCAGCTGTCCCTGCTGCCAGTGGGTTGGCATCTGTGGTCTGGCATTTCAGAGTGCTCTTCAGAATGTGGATGCCCTGAGCCAGCCCTTTCACTGCCTCACCCCCCATGTTTCTGCAGAGTGTTATTACCGCCCCCACCCCCCAGGCCCGAGTGCCCCACTTCTTTTCCCTCTAGCTTCAGAAAGGAAGGTGACAGGGAGCGTGAAAGTGAAGAAACCAGCCCGGTTCTGAGCACAGCTCCTTGCAGACCCCAGCTGCTCTGTAGGCACTGGCTGGGCTGAAAGGAACCACAGAACTGAGCGAGATTGTTGCTGACTCCTAAAAACCACAGAAGCATCCTCATGCCACACGGCTGGCGCTGTCTCGACACAGCCAATATCACAAAACTAGAATCCACAAAACCAGCCTTCCTGTGTCTCCTCAACAGCCTAGAACTCTAGCAAAAACCGAAGTGGGAAAGAGCCTTCCACTGGTTCCCTGAGGAAGGCCGTAAGTGTCTTTGTTCTCTGTGGCCCGCCACCATCTGCAGCCTCCCCGAGCCCCCTGTCTGAATTCTCCAGGAGCCCCCTCATGCACATCTAAGGCAGTGTGCTAAATGGAAAATTTGACCTTGGTTTGATTCCTGCCTGGGCCTGGCATGTAGCCCTGAGCAACTCCTCTGAGTCTCAGACTCCTCTGCGGAAACAAGATAATATATTCCAAGTACCTAGCCCAGTGCTGGTAGAACCCAGGTGCTCAATAAATGGCAGCGATTAGTGCTATTAGGATTTCCTCTCTGCGGTGTGAACTGGACCAAAAGTTTCCCAGGCTTTAATTGGTCCCTCTCCCAGCCTGAGATTAATGGTGCTCCAGTCTGGTGGCCGCATCTCCGCGTCCTCCCAAAATAAATGGCCACCCACAGTGACGGCATGTGGAATTAGAATGTTATCCGGGTGCGCCTCCCCATAATGGAGCTCATTTTTTATACAACTGGGAACTTTTTTAATAAAGAAAGATGTAAAATAATCTCATTGCTGCCACTGCCAAGCACAGGAAGCATTAGGCGGTTCCCCAGTGAGCTGCTTAATTCAATTTTATTAATTTTGCCACAGAGGTGTAGCTCGCCTTCCCTAGGGGCCCTCCAGGGGTGGCGGGGGGGCAGCTGGCTGGGTGGCAGCTCCTTGGGAGGAGTCACAGGGGACCCTGCAAAAGATGCCTTAAAATGGCCCCCATCATTGGTGGTGCAGACCCTGAATCTTCCTTTGCCCTCCCGGCAAAGAACACAGCTCCAGTCTCCGGTGCCTCCGATTTTTCACGGGAATTGTCTGCCACACTGTTTTTGCTCTGCAATTGTATTTGATTACCCCTGGGAAGGCAACCTTATTATAAGCAGGCCATTCACAGCTAAAGTTGTCCCAGCATCATCATTATAAATCCTTATTTTCAAGGTTTGAGAATTTGTTTGGAGGAAAGGGGGAGACACACATGTCTCTACGTTCTCTGAGAATGCGATCCTTTGCTGCCATTTAATGGAAATAATTACATTCATTAATTCAGTACCTTCTATATGCCCAGAACTCTGTTTGGTAATCTACTCAGGCTTCTTCAGTCCTCACAATATCCCTGTTGTTTCACAGAGGAAGAAATTGAGACTCGGACAGGGAATGGCACTTGCCCAAGGTCACACAGATAAATTGGCCATAGAATCGAGGCTGGAATCCTGACCTTAATTCCTAGACCTGAGCCTTTTTTACCACCCAGGGTCCTAGAGGGCCTTTCATTACCTCAGTCCACATGTGCGGTTTTGTATCATATGACCTACATCATCTACTTTCCTCTTGTGTTTCCCTTACTACATGTCAAACTTAACCAGTGACCAATGGAAGAGTCGGAAAATGTGCCCAAATGTCCTATAAGGCCATGTGCCAATTAGAGGGGACACAGCATTTTAGCTTTGGAGTACCTGGCAATGTTTCAGGGGCAACCGATGCCTAAAGGGTGGATCCAAATACAGAAGTAGGCCTCAAAGTATATTTCTTTATTAAACTATGAAAAACCCTGACTTACCTCTACCCTTGTGGGAGCCCTGTATTCCTGACTCTGGAAGGAAATTGAATTGTGTGCTGACCCAGCAGCCCAGCTGACCTAGCAAGGGGATCTGGACCCACTTGGCCTCTCCCTTTTTAGGAGAGAGTCAAGAAGGAGCTGCCTTTTTGTCCCCATTAGAAGTATGACATTAGGATATCACATGGATCGTCTTCAGGACCAGCTAGTATTTGCTCGATACCTGCACTGCCTTTATTCTCACAACAGCCCTATTTAATTGGCCTTCCCATTTTACAGATGATGAAGCTTCATAGAACTGGCAGGTGATAGAGCCAGGACCCAAACCCCATCTGTTGGCACCCATAACCTGTGCTGCCTCCTCTAATCAGGACCTTCTCACATCAAAGTCTTCAATGTCCAGAGTAACTCTGTCTTTCCTCCTGCTCCAGGTTCACAACCGGAACCTCCTGTCCCTGGACTTTGACCGTGTGACCCGCACAGAGAAGATCTATGATGACCACCGCAAGTTCACCCTCCGGATCCTGTACGACCAGGCAGGGCGGCCCAGCCTCTGGTCACCCAGCAGCAGGCTGAATGGTGTCAATGTGACATACTCCCCAGGGGGCCATATCGCTGGCGTCCAGAGAGGCATCATGTCTGAGAGGATGGAATACGACCAGGCGGGTCGCATCACATCCAGGATCTTTGCTGATGGGAAGACGTGGACCTACACATACTTAGAGAAGGCAGGTGTCCATCCCTCCCCCCACCACCACTGGCCTTGCCATTTAGAAGACCATTGTGTCATGGCTCAACCCATGGCCAGGCCCAGCTTGCTGCCCTCAGCGGAATAGATTGGACCCATGTGGTCTCCAAAAGAAAACAGAAAAATCTGCAATAGAGGGCTGGGGAGCCCGAGAGGCATCTGGGTGGATCGTGGTGATGGTGTGGCAGTTAGGGGTCCTGGGGCAGGAGAACGTTAAAGGCCCACATGAGAGACTGGAACTGGGGGCAGGCCCAACAGTAACTGGTCCTACAGAGCAGGACTGAGGGCCGAGACCCAGGCAGGGGTCTGCTCCCAGGTCTGGGGCACACAGTGTGATCTGGTCACAGAGAATAGGGCAGAGGCCTAGGGATCAGTACTTAGGCAGGAGGTGATTAGTCCTGAGCTTCCAGTGGTGGGCATGGCCTTCGTAAATCCGTTCTGCTTCAGGTTAGGATTTATTTCATCCCAGGGGCTAAGAATCAGAAAAGCCCTGAAAGTAAAAGTTGGTCCCAAATCGGAGAAAATGTAGCTTTGCCTGCCTAGCTTCCTTTAGGTGTGTTATCTGCTGACTTATTCCTGTAAAAGAGCCTGCACTTCATGCCCCGGTTCTTGTACCCACGTCTTTACTTTGTTTCCTGCTCGCGGTCACCTGTCCAGGGTCTGGGCTGTGCTTGCTTTGTGCTCAGTCTTCCCCACCGTGTGCTGGGTGAGCATCTCTAAGCAATGTTCTGTGGTGGTGCTAAGAGAGACGTTGGAGGTCATCCGACATAGTGAAAAACCCAACCCAGAGGGGGAAAGAACCTTCCTGGGGCCATGCAACAAGCCATTGTTAGGAATCAGGTTTCCCTGTTGCCATCACAATCCACCCCAGCCCAGGGTGGGCATATGACCTGTTCCTGCATAAAGCCTTAAATGCCCTTCTCAGATGCATTCTTTATCCTGTGGGCCACAGGGAGCCAAAAGAAGTTGTGTAGCAGGCAGTAGATACTGTCAGGCTGTGTTTTATGAAAATCATTCTTGCTTGAGTAGGAACATTGATTTGAGAAGGAATCTGAAGGAAGGAAGCCAGGAGAGAGGCTGTTGCAAATCCTTCTAGCCAGTGCTCCCAACCTTTCTCACACACCATCACCCACAAAATCATCATTTTTGTACCACACAAAGGGACAAGCAGACAAGGCTGCTCACCATGGGAAGACAGATGGCCTGAGTGCCAGGGCCAAGGGCTGAGAGAAATCCTTATCTTACCCATTTGTACCCCACTGCAGTACCCTATGGCACATTGTTTAGAAGGCCGTGGTTTGGGCCTCACTTAGGACAACCACCAGTTCCCTTGGCTTTTCATTCATCTCCTTTAAGTCTTAAGTGCACAGACTTCCCCTGCGTGCACTCCCCTACTCTTACTTCTGTGTTCCTTTCCCTCCAGTCCATGGTACTGCTCCTCCACAGCCAGCGGCAATACATCTTTGAGTTCGACAAGAATGACCGCCTCTCTTCTGTGACCATGCCCAACGTGGCCCGGCAGACGCTAGAGACCATTCGCTCAGTGGGCTACTACAGGAACATCTACCAGCCCCCTGAAGGCAATGCCTCGGTCATCCAGGACTTCACTGAGGACGGTCACCTCCTCCACACCTTCTACCTGGGCACCGGCCGCAGGGTCATATACAAGTATGGCAAACTGTCAAAGCTAGCCGAGATGCTGTATGACACCACCAAGGTGAGCTTCACCTATGACGAGACAGCAGGCATGCTGAAGACCATCAACCTACAGAATGAGGGCTTCACCTGCACCATCCGCTACCGTCAAATTGGGCCTCTGATCGACCGCCAGATCTTCCGCTTCACCGAGGAAGGCATGGTCAATGCTCGTTTTGACTATAACTATGACAACAGTTTCCGGGTGACCAGCATGCAGGCTGTGATCAATGAGACCCCGCTGCCCATCGATCTCTATCGCTATGATGATGTGTCAGGGAAGACAGAGCAGTTTGGGAAGTTTGGTGTCATCTACTATGACATTAACCAGATCATCACTACAGCGGTCATGACCCACACCAAACACTTTGACGCATACGGCCGCATGAAGGAAGTGCAATATGAGATTTTCCGCTCACTCATGTACTGGATGACCGTCCAGTATGATAACATGGGGCGAGTAGTGAAGAAGGAGCTGAAGGTGGGACCCTATGCCAATACCACCCGCTACTCCTATGAGTACGACGCTGATGGCCAGCTACAGACGGTCTCCATCAATGACAAGCCGCTCTGGCGCTACAGCTATGACCTCAATGGGAACCTGCACTTACTGAGCCCTGGGAACAGTGCACGGCTCACCCCGCTAAGGTATGACCTCCGTGACCGCATCACTAGGCTGGGTGATGTGCAGTACAAGATGGACGAGGATGGCTTCCTGAGGCAGCGGGGCGGGGACGTCTTTGAGTACAACTCAGCTGGCCTACTCATCAAGGCCTACAACCGGGCCGGTGGCTGGAGCGTCAGGTACCGTTACGATGGCCTGGGGCGGCGGGTGTCCAGCAAGAGTAGCCACGGCCACCACCTGCAGTTCTTCTATGCAGACCTGACCAACCCCACCAAGGTCACCCACCTTTACAACCACTCCAGCTCCGAGATCACCTCCCTCTACTATGATCTGCAAGGGCACCTCTTTGCCATGGAGCTGAGCAGCGGTGATGAGTTTTACATAGCTTGTGACAACATCGGGACCCCTCTTGCTGTCTTCAGTGGAACAGGTTTGATGATCAAGCAGATTCTATACACTGCCTATGGAGAGATCTACATGGACACCAACCCCAACTTTCAGATCATCATCGGCTACCATGGTGGCCTCTACGATCCACTCACCAAGCTCATCCACATGGGCCGGCGGGATTACGATGTGCTGGCTGGTCGTTGGACTAGCCCAGACCACGAGTTGTGGAAACACCTTACTAGCAGCAACATCATGCCTTTCAATCTCTACATGTTTAAAAACAACAACCCCATCAGCAACTCTCAGGACATCAAGTGCTTCATGACAGGTGAGGATGAGGGCTCATTCGGAGGACAGGACTGTTGTTCTGGTCCTCTGACAGGACGGTCTTCCTTGAGAAAGCTGGTAGTTGGGTCACAGGAAACACTGGCTTTCCTTAGAACAGCGTTTTTCAAAGTAGATTTTAAGAAACACTACTTGAGAGAAATGCCCTGGAAAAACTGGTACTGGCCTCAAATTGATTTGACAGGGCAACTACCATTCTTAAATTTTCATAATACATTGCAGCTTATGAAAGTCTCTGCGAAGTCCTCTGGTAAAGAGAACTGTTTAACACAGTTACCCACTATTTCTCAAACATCTGACCACGAAACCCCTTTACCCACAGTTTCTCAAGCATTTGAGCATGAAACCCCTTTTTTTCACCATGAAATCCTAGTGCTTCACTGGATGCATCCCTGAAAATGCACTTTGGAAGTTTCTGACCCAGAGATCAGGCTGACTGTGAGTCCCCAATAAGGTGGGTGAAGGTATAGCTAAAGAAAAAAAAAAAAATCAATTTTCTCATTCGGGATAATGTAATGGAAAGTTCAGAATTTGGACACAGAACTGCTGAAGGATGCACCATTTCTAAGTTATGGACAGTCACAGAAATTACTTAACTTCCCTTAATTCCAGTTTGCTGACCTGTAAGTTAAAGTGAGGGGGCACCTGGGTGGTTCAGTCAGTTAAGCATCCAACTCTTGATCTCAGTTCGGGTCTTGATCTCACGGTTCTAAGTTCAAGCCCCACACTGGGTTCCACTCTGGGCATGAAGCCTACGTAAATAAGTAAGTAAGTAAGTAAGTAAATAAATAAATAAATAAATAAATAAATAAATGTTAGAATGTCTACTGACACTGATAAGTATGCATGTTGTAAATCCTAGAGCATCCATTAGAAAAGAAAACAGAGGCATAGCTAATTAGTCAATAGTGGAAATAAAATGTAGACTAAAAAAAATATTCAACCCAAAGAGGGTAGGAAGAGGGGAGAAAGGGAGAGGATGGACAAGTAGGAAAAAAAAAAAAAAAAAAAAAAAAAAAAAAAAAAAAAAAAAAAAAAAAAAAACCCTGCTAGGATGGTTGCAAGGGTGAAATGAGATACATTTTATAACCTGCCTAGCACAGTGCCTGGCTCATGTAAGGTTCCCTTACCTCGACCCTGACTTAAAAAGTGAGCTTTGTTTTCCACTACTGTGAAACCAACTGGAATATAAATGTTCACACGTGCCAGAAATGTCTTCAGCAGCCACAGTCCACCCAGCAAAGCAGCCACTCCCAGACCTCAGCCACAGAAGACCTCAAGAGTCAGAGCAGCTATGGGGATTCAGGTCTGGATAAAACCAGCGCTTTTTATAAAAGAGAGTTTGCAGTGGGCAAAAATTGGGCACGCCCCAACTCGCAAACCTGGTCGTTTCCTTCTCTTTCTCCTGTGACACAACCCTGCACCCCCTATTTTAAGGCGGTTTCATTTTCATTCAACAAGTGCCTCCTGGGTGCAGCCACTGTTTTCGGCCTGAGGGGATGGGATACAAAGATGATCCCTGCCCTCCAGGAATTTACACTGCAAGGGAGACACAGACAGCAGTGAGGGGCCCAGGATGAAGGTTTGCACTGATGGCCGTTGATACACAGGATGCACAGCTGGCTGTGCCCAGGGAGCAGTTCATCCTTGAGGCCCACTTCTGAGTGGACATTCCTCAGGTAATGGGGAGAAAGGCAACCCAAGCAGAGGGGACTGCATTTACAGAAGTGCAGAGAGGGCAACAGGTACAGCTCACATGAGTGCCCCTTAGGGATGTGGCTTCCTAGCTCCCAAACCTGGTGGCCTGGTCTGGACCCTGCTGCTGCTGACACTGACTGGAGGATTCTTTCCGGGAAGAATTCCAGGTGGTCATGTTGAGAGCAGGCATCCCATGCGTGAGGAAGAAGAGTGGGCGCGGTGGTGGGTGGGTGTGATGAAAGCGGACTTGGGGCCTGTGGTGAACAGGAATAGCCCAACAAGGTCTCTCTATGCTCAACTTGCTGGCAGTCCAAGAAAACTTAACAGATTTAGAAAACATTTCCATTATGTCTGTGTACATTAAGCACACCCCCTGCTCATCCTGCAGTGAGTTTCTTTCGAGGTATCTTGGCAGGTTACTTACTGTAGCTGGAAAAAAAAAAAAATGGTACAGAAAAACATTCTGTTACTACAAACCAAGATCCCACTAATTCTCACTAAACCGTTTAGCTTCCATGCGAGCTACATACAACCTCACTCACATCCAGCAATGACACCAATAAAAAGGAGCATACACTCCAAATGGATAGGCTGAGGTCACATGACAACCCCTGAACCAAGCACTGTGGCTGGGGAGAGAAAACGCACCGAGTGGCTTAGCCTAGGCCACATGCTCCATTGCTGAACCCCTAGGTGGAGTTAGCCTCCCTAAAACTACACAGATACCCCAAAAGGAAGAGTGAGAAGGCAGAATGGGATGCTAGGAAGGCAACCAAAAAACATCCACCAAGGATCCATCCCATACTCTATTGCACTAACCCTCACCTGAAGCCAGTGAGATGGGGATCACTGACTCCATTCTCAGAGGAGGAAAGTGAAGGCCAGAGCCATAAAGTAACTGACCTACTGAGAAGTGGCAGGGCTAGGGGTAGAACACTGCTCTAACTCCAGAATCCTCATTCTTGGAATGAAATTCACTCTGTAATGTGCCCACATAAGAACGGATTGTTAATTCATCGCTGTCCCAGGTGGCTACACTGATGTCTGGGGCGGATGGGTAAAAAGGGGCTTTTTAACTTGACAGAAATTTCTAACTCTGATATCATAAAAAGGAAGAGTAAAATTCCCAACTTTTCAGAAAAGTGCCGTAGGAAAAAAAAAAAAACAATGAATAAATCGATTTTCAGCATTTTTCCTAAAGGCATAATGAGAAATGTTCCTACCTTCCATCGCTTGTGATTAAGGCCCAGCCCTCTTTTCAGCCCCCTAGTTTCCTGGGAATCTGCAGTAATCCTGATAGAAGTTTTCCTTTCCAACTACAAATTCAGATGCAGGTTCTCAGCCTCAGGCCAAATGGCTTCATGGGGGATTTTTTCCCCCTTGTTCTGTTTGTTTTAATTTCCTAAAAACCATCTGCCACGATTCATAGAATCAGAGATTCTCAAAAACTCAGTGAAGAAAGGGACTTTGGAGGCAAGCTAGCCCAAGTGCCTCATGTTACAAATGAGGAAATGGAGGTCCAGTGACGTGGGGGTCTGGGTTTGAAAAAGCTCAGAAAACCTTCTATGAGCCAGGAACCGAGCTGGACACTTTAGAATATAGGAAACCCAGTCATTCGTGTAACAAGCTTAGAACAGTTGCTGCTGTATGATGGCTGCCCAAAGTGGTAACACTATTATTCTTTCCATGTCTTGGTGAAAACCATTTCTACCATCAGTTTGTAGATAGGGAAACTGAATCTCAGAGAGGTTAAGGAAACGGTCCAAGTTCACACAGTGTGCGACTTGGGGAGCCTGAATTTGAACATGGGTTTCGTCTTGCCTCACCATGTTCTTTTCCTTCCACGACCTTCCTAGAAGTAGAACCTGGGTTTCTACACTGCCCTTCCTATCTTCCTCCACCCCGGTACCTCCATGTTTCACACCCAAGAGAGAGGGGCTCCAGGGCATCCAAAAAACAAAAAAAAAACAAAGGCAAACTTGAGGTCCTTGAATGAGAAGACAGCACAGGATGCAGCGGTGGCAGGGACACAGTTGTCAACCCCCAAAGGACATCCCCATCGTTGGAATGGCTTCAGTGGGTGGTAGGGGAAGACAGCTCCACCAGTGCCTGGACCCTAAGCAGGGCCTCCCTGACCAGAGACATGTCTCCTTTGGAAGAAGGCAAAAGCAGGCCTGGATGCCCATAGCCCGGGACTGCCAGCTCTGAGGCTCAACTCCACCCCCCCCACACACACCTCTTCGCCAGACTTTGGATTCTGAGTCTCTGCTCAACAAATGCTTTAGCATCTTCAACTGCCTCTTCTCAAGGAAGGCTGAGCCACACTGGGACACAGGCTGGCTGTCACTCTCCTACAGGCACCCAGTTAACTCCTACCTGCCATCCCAGGCTTTTCCTGCGCTAGCCACAATTTTTCTTTCTGGTTCTCTCTCTGCCTTGCTGAACTGCTCTCCGCTTACCTGAACACTCCCCACACTCACCTGCCCTCTCCAGGCCTTGCCTTGCACACGGTCTTTGCCTGAAGTGCCCCCTTTATCTCTGCTGAAGCCTGACAAAAGGTACACAGCTTTCAGTGTCTGCCTTAAAGGCCACCTTCTTTGTGAAGACTTGTCAGCCTGTCCAACTGAAAGACTTCTGCCCTCCTCTCATCTTTTTTCTTGTGTCAAAGTTTTGCATGCCTGTGTGTCATCTCCCCTTCAGGGTTCTGAGTGCACAAGGTGAGGGTCGGAGTAACACAGTGCTGGGCACACGAAACGCTCTCAGCAACATTGGGCCTAGTAACAGATGACACTTTATCCATCCTTTTTCTTTCCCTTATGTCTTGGCTTCCTGATTCTGTTCTTCAGTGAGCCAAAGGCTCATGGGAAAGTCCTCTCTATCCCTATACCTAATATTCTATAATTAGTAACCCCCCAGGAATGTTATAAAATCGATGAAACCAATGCCTATGGCGCTAGATCCTCAAGCCCACTATTTTTTTTAATGTTTGTTTATTTTGAGAGAGCACGCATGTGAGTGGGGGAGGGGAAGAGAGAGAGGGAGACAGAGGATCCAAAGTGGGCTCTGCGAGGATAGCAGACAGCCTGATGCAGGGGCTGAAACTCATGAATGATGAGATCATGACCTGAGCCAAAGTCAGACGCTTAACCAACTGAGCCACCCAGGTGTCTCCTCAAGCCCAATATTAAAGATTGGAAAATGAAGGCACAGGGAGATTAAATGACTTCCTTAGCATCACTTACCAGAGTAAATGAAAGGTAGACTCGGGGTGGGGGTGGGGGACTCTTTGATGTTTGGTAGAGGCCATCTTGCTGCTTGGGAGAGGAGGGAGGGCTTGTTTTTAAATGGAATTTCTCTTTGAAAGTCATTCACTTAAATCTTTCCTTTGGGTGCAGTTGTCCTCTGCAAGTGTTTCCTCCTGATGCAGGGGGTGGGTGTGCATCATCTACCCCCCACCCCGGTCCCCCCGGGTTTGAATCCAAAGAGGTTTAAGTGACAGGGGAGTCTGGAAACATAGGTTCTACTGAAGTCACAGCTCTCTTAGATACATATCTAGGAGAGGAACAACGGTCCAAAGAGTATGTGTGGCTTTAATAACCATGAAACAGTCTTCCAAAGTGTTTGTAGCGGTTGATGTCCCACTTGCGACACCCCCCACCCTCACCCCCCCACTGCTGTCTCACTCTGGGCCACTTTATTGGGATGTGTCACCTCTGAGGTCCACTCACTCCACAAGGACGTTTCTGCTTCTCTCCCACCCAGATGTCAACAGCTGGCTCCTCACCTTTGGATTCCAGCTGCACAATGTGATTCCTGGCTACCCTAAGCCAGACATGGATGCCATGGAACCATCCTATGAGCTCGTCCACACACAGATGAAAACTCAGGAGTGGGACAACAGCAAGGTAATCTGCGCACACACGGCCACCCACCCTCAGGCCAGGCAGACCTTATGGGAGTGGCTCCTACAAAGCTTTTCAGGAAAGCATGGGCCCCTGACGGAAACTGACGTGGTGCAGCCACAGTGCCTGCCAGAAGCTGTTCAGGAAATCTGTGGTAACCACTGGCAAGCCACTGTGGACCCAGCTGTAACAGAACACAGACCCCCACAAGCTCTATTAAGTTTTCTCTGATACGCGGAGTTTGGAATTCCACAAAAACAATGAGCCTTTGTCACTGCCCAGAGCAAAAGGGCAAGGAGGGAGGGTGTGTTCTAAATACAAGTGTGACATTTTCTGAGCACCTCCGTTCACCTGCACCTGCCTGAGGTATTCTACACAAGTTAACGCACACATATCCCCTGGTATTACTGTTGGCATTTTACAGGTTTAATGCCTGAGGCTTTCCAGTGCCACACAAGCAAGGAAGGGGTAGACTGGGATTCACGCCCGGATCTGTCTGTAAGGTGTTCAAAAAAATGTTACCTTCTCTTGTGTGCCTTTCATGGCCTGGTTTTAAAGACTCACAGAATTATATAGCTGTAAAGGCCCTTAAAAACCCCTCTACCCCACCCCTCACTTCAGGCATCCCCTTTTCGCCCCCTCCCCCACTTCATAATGTAAGTACTAGGAGCTGGCTCTTCCAGGCCCCACGCTGCACCCCGTGAATGCAGGCATGAATCAGGCGGAGACCAGGCCTTCTGGGGATCCCTGTCCAGAGGGAAAGCAGGGTTGTTAGATGGCACACTGCTGACAGCCAGAAACTTGCACATCTGTGTGTCTTACTCCAGCCTGATTCCCTTCATCCTCGGCTGAGCTGCCTCCGTCCTCTAGATTCTGGAGAACATGATTCTGCACCTCTAGGTCCTAGCGGTCCCCCATATTCTCCCCTTCAGAGCACTTACCACACCTGTATCCCCACTGGACTATGAGCCCCAAGAAGGCAAATAAATCCTGGGTCTTCTTCGGTACCCAGTGTACTGCCCTTTTGCTGAATGCACAGATGGTTGAAAGAAGTAGACAACCCTGTGTGAGGTAGGCATTCTTCCTCATTTTACAGATGAGGAGACCAGAGCTCAGAGAGAAACTTGCTCAAGGTCACTCAGCAGGAAAGGCGATGAGAACCCAGTGTGTCTGACCACAAAGCCTGGCCCCTTTCTGCTATTCTGTGCCACTGTAGCCCTGCCCTCTGCCTGGCTCAATCCCCACTGTCCCCCCCCCCCCCCCCCCCCCCCCCCAGGCTGACCTGGCTGATTCCACAGCAGCCCAGCTGCTCCCCACCTCCCCCCACCCCCTCGAGCTTCCCTTCCCCCCACCCCCACCAGCTTCCTTTCCCCACCCCACCCCCACCCCCCCACCCCCGACGCAGAGCCCCAGTCTCTGACGGCCTGTTTGCCAACCTCGCCCGTCAATGAATTATTGATTTCTGCCCTTGGCAAGCATCGAAGATCTGTGTTGTTGAGCACTCCAGCTTTCGTGAAACTCTAGGAAATAATTGTTCACAGACAGGGTTCTATTAATTATAAAGAGGACTTAATTTCAGTGAGAAGCCGATAGGCCTGTTTCTAAAGCCATTTCCCTGAGTTGCTGGTTAGGCCCTGGAGCTTGCACGAACCCGGCTTTGCCAAGCTCCCGCACCATGGGAGGGACTGGTAGGTGGTATGACATGGAGACCAGGCCCAATCTGTCCCCCAAAGCAGCCGAGAGCAGAGACATCTGAGGAGCCCCCAGGAAGCACTATGGGGGCAGAGGCCCTCCTTGAAAATAGTTTATAAACATGATGGAGAGCGATGAAGCAGGGTAAGAGGGGTTATATAAATGACCGCTTTTCATCTTACTAAGCCTTCTTGCCAAGAACCCATTGCTTGTCATTCCTCCATCTGACATCGTCCCTTTATCCTCCGAGTTCCAACTCAAGCGTGAGTCTGCCCTTGAACCCTACCTTGTCCACCTCATTCCTCCATCTTTGGGCTGAGATGTTCTGATCCTTGTCCTCTGCTCCCTGATCCAGAGCCCTTGAAGCTGAGCCTCTAGAATCAGACAGAGTTCAAACGTTGGCTTGAATACTTACCCATTGTACAGATGTGGGCCCATTACAACCTCTTAGAGACTTAGTTTTCTTAGATGTAAAATCAATAATAAGAGTACCTACTATATAAAGTTATTGTGGAAATCAAATGAGATACCGAATGTGACTGATTTAGCTCAAAGACCAAGACCTGTTAGCCAAAGTTATTACTGCTACTTCTCTTAAACCACCAGTTATCACATTTGATGATAATTATTTGATGTCACATCTGTCTTTCTGCACTAAAAGATGGGTTCCTCAAGAGCAGGGATGATGTCTGATTCGTTGGTACCTCTCCAGTGCCCAGAAAGAAACCTGGCACAGAGCAGGTGCTTGCTGAAGAGTTTCTTAATGGAAGGATGGGTGAACGGATGGATAAAGGATGGCAGAATGTTCTAGTGGTCAGCAGTAGAGCTAGATGCTACTGGTTAATGTGTATAGATTCGATTAGTTATGAGAGCTGACTCTTCAGGCTCTTAGGGAGAGGTTTTCCCCTTTGCCTCATTCCTTCTTTCTCTCTCTCCTCCCCCATCAGTCTATCCTCGGGGTACAGTGTGAGGTGCAGAAGCAGCTCAAGGCCTTTGTCACCCTAGAACGTTTTGACCAGCTCTACGGCTCCACAATCACCAGCTGCCAACAGGCCCCAGAGACAAAGAAGTTTGCATCCAGTGGCTCGGTCTTTGGCAAGGGGGTCAAGTTTGCCTTGAAGGATGGCCGAGTGACCACAGACATCATCAGTGTGGCCAACGAAGACGGGCGGAGGGTTGCTGCCATCTTGAACAACGCCCACTACCTGGAGAACCTGCACTTCACCATTGACGGGATGGACACCCACTACTTTGTGAAACCAGGGCCCTCGGAGGGCGACCTGGCCATCCTGGGCCTCAGTGGGGGACGGCGAACCCTGGAGAACGGGGTCAACGTCACGGTGTCCCAGATCAACACGATGCTCAATGGCAGGACTAGACGCTACACAGACATCCAGCTCCAGTATGGGGCACTGTGCTTGAGCACTCGCTACGGGACCACATTGGATGAGGAGAAGGCGCGGGTGCTGGAGCTGGCCCGGCAGAGAGCCGTGCGCCAGGCGTGGGCCCGCGAGCAGCAGCGACTCCGGGAAGGGGAGGAAGGCCTGCGGGCCTGGACAGAGGGGGAGAAGCAGCAGGCGCTGAACACGGGGCGGGTTCAAGGCTACGACGGCTTCTTCGTGATCTCCGTGGAACAGTACCCGGAACTGTCAGACAGCGCCAACAACATCCACTTCATGAGACAGAGCGAGATGGGCCGGAGGTGACAGAGAGGTCCACGGCCTGCACTTCTTGCCAAAGACAGCTACTCTTTCGTGGCCACACACCTGACTGTGTTGTACTTAAAAAAAAAAAAAAAAAAATCCTTTTTTTAACAAGTGCAGAAAACAAACCAACACACACAAAAAAGATACTGGTTGCATTGTAACTCATGCAACATCCTTTTTTTTAAGAAAAGAAAAACACAGATTTGGCCTTCACACATTTTTTGCAAAGAACAGAAGGTATTTTTTTCTGTAGTGTGATCACAATGAAAACTTTATTGTCTTTTGTTCCCTTTCTCCTTGAGGAGTTTTCCTTGTTGTTGGGGTACATTTCTCCTCTCTGAGACACATCTCCTGAGGTGTGTCCTTGTCTGTCCCTAGGTACCCAGTGTGATGTGAGACACAAGTGTCTGTGCTAACTTGTCTCATGTGCAACCCTTTCTTCCATGGGGGTCGGGCAGGAGTGAGGGGTGTAGAGAGTGACGGGCTAGTACCGAACTACTGAGGGGGCCCGGAAGGAGGGTCTGCAGGACCTGAGGATTTTTGGCTCAGCTCCCACAGACGAGTGGCGGCTTTTGACTCACCATGTTCTGTGCCTCTGGAGGACCACAGATGTCTTGATCTTGCTCTGGGGACTTTTGTGATATCATTTAGCACCTGTTCCAAGCTGCCCCAAACTCCTGTCCAAGCTTTATATTTTGATGCTAAATGCAACCCCCTACCCCTTTTGCAAATCCTGTGTAGTTGTCGGTGCCACCCCCATGCTGGGATGGAGAAAGTGTCCCCCAGGTCCCTTCCCCCAGTCTGGTGACGTAACATCCTGGGGCTAAGAGCCTCACCCTCCCATAGAGGCAAGGCACCCAGGATGTCTGTGGTTGGTTGGTCTTCCCATGATGTTCCTTATTATTCATCGCCTCCTCTCTCCCAGAGTCAGATGTGAGAACCGGCAAGCCCTCCACGTGAGCACAAGGTCCAGGGAGGGGCAGGCCACCCATGGCAAAAGGAAGGCAGTGGCAGCAAGGGTACCAGCCTGCCTTCCCAGGTGAACCTCTCTCCCCATGACTGTGGGTATCTTCCCTCCACTGTTCAGCTCCACCACTGAGAAACAGGAGTGTGGAGAGAGGTGTTTGGTGGCCGTTGATTCTGGAAAGATGCTTAAGAAGAAGTCAGCCAAAGAGAGGAAGGCATAAGCCACGCATCTTCTAACCAGCTCCTGAAGGCTCCTCTGCCTCCCATACATGAGCCAGTAGCACAGCTGGGAGGCAGCAGGGTCAGCGTTCAGGAAATTCCTTCTGTGAAGTTCTTCTAAAACAGCTTCCCCTCTGGAGGAGTCCATCCAGGGTTTTAAAGAGAGACTGAGGAGAAAGGAGGGAAGAGCTAATTTGGTGTGGCCTGGCAAGGTCATCCAACCCCCTCCCCCTCCCCCACCCTGCTGCCCCAGGATTGGGACCTGTTCCTGAGGCCGGTACCCACAGATCAGGGAGGCCAGGCCACAGCTGTCCCTGGGAAGACCCATGCCTGAGGTCACTGGGAAGAGGCATACGCTCTCTCGCCTTCTTGGAAGTGGGCACGCCCAGGAGCAGCCATCAGGCTAGGGAAGCATTAAGGGGAGGGGACAGCCGCAGCAAGAGCGAGGAGCTCCTTGCTCCTGGTTCATCTGCCTAATTACCATCATCATTACCACTCACAGGAGGTTCTGGGAGACCAGGAGGGGAAGCCGAATGCTTCCTTTTGAGCTGGGCTTCTTATAAAATGGGACTTTTATGGGTTACATTTACATTAAGTGTGGAAAATGAATTCTGAGTCTGAGCTATCCCCCGTGGAAACCTTGTTGGACTGATAAGCTCATGGCACCTTTATAGCCTTACTCACAGAGTCTTCAGAATATTACACGAGTTAATGAAACCAAGAAGGTCTTTGCTGTGTGAGAACCGGAGCAGCATGTAGCCTGGGTTCTGCCTGGCAGAGGGAGGCACCCGCCGCTTCTCGGGAGAGGAGGTTTCGCCTTACATCATCCCACTGGGATTAGAGGATATGTTTTGCTAAGTGCTCTTCCTGTTTCCACAAAAGTCACACTGCTGCGACAGTGCACCTTGGCCCATATGTCCACTGGTTGCCCAGTGCCTCTGGGTACAGAGCTCTGCTGAGTCCGATGCAGTATTCCTCGGGCCTGCTGTGTGTGGTCCCTGGGAGCTGGTGGTGGACTCCCATCTGGCAGGATCGTTCTTGGATGGGATGGAAAGCAGTTTGGCCTGAAGAACACGTTTGTTTTTTAAATCCAAAATAGACTGATGCCTCTCAAAACATACTCTTGATACAAGGAGCCCTTGGGTGAAGCTCTCGTGCCCATTAGCCTAGCTGATCGGTTCCATCTTGGCTACCTGACATCAGTCGAGACCTGCTGGGGACATCTACTTGAAGGTCAGAGCCAACATGAGAGCCAAGGGAATCATCTCCCTACACCATCCCCACCCTCTGAACCCTCCACCCCCACCCCCCACCAAAGTAATAGGATGGACTTGTAAAGATCAAAAACACAGAATTATTGCATGTTCCTTCACGTTTTGCCTTTCCTGGGCTCCACACCACTAAGGAGGCCCAGCATCAGTATGGGGAGAAGTTGAAGCATTCTTTCTTTAGAGAAAAGATCTCAGGTGTGGCGTAGGCAGCATCACGCACTGTGGTTTCACATCGGTACTGTTGCTCCTGGAGACGGTGCTTCTGGCCTAGCCTTTTGGAGTGGGCTTCCATAAGGGCTGGCAGGTGACATGGCACCTCCCTTCTCAGTCTGTCCTTCTGCTGAGACCAGCAGCCCCAATCTCACAGCAAGAGTGAGTCTGAAGGCATAAGCCAGAGTTCCCCATGCCCACCGAGTGGCCTCTGAGCATCAAATCCCACCCTCGATGGCACCTGCCCTTTTAGCACTAAGCTACTCAAAGTGTCCATTTCTTGGAGAAACCAGCCTTCCCTCACTGGCCCAGGTTCACGATTCTGCAGGATGTTGCTCTAGCAAAGGGTTTGTTTTGGAAGAGTTCCTGCCTTCTCCCCTGCCTTCCATGGGTACCATCGTCCCCTGATCCTCAGCCTCTCTGCCATTGCTTTAAACAGGACTTATTCCCCAGCTCTGTTTTTCGTAAGATGAGATTCCCTTTTTTTACCCAGCCTCCAGACAGACATCATTGGAGGGCAGAGCTATGACAAGGGAATGAAGGGGAAGAAACTCTGGGGTAAATTGCACCTTTATCAGCCCCTGATGCTGGTCTCTCAGAATTGTTGGCTGAGAACCCAAGGAACAGCCCAGTGCCTGATTTCCACCTAGGGATGGAAAATTTGAAACAATCCCTAGGAAACTGACCAGAAGTTGAGAATGGTTTAAATAATCAGGATGGGGTGGGGCAGAAGCAGAAGGTGACGGTGAGGCAAAGGAAGGTAACACTGGGCAGTGTTTTCATAGACACATAACAAAGAATCACATTTGCTTGGAAAAAAAAATTATAAAGGACCTTTTCAGCTGTGACTTGTAAGTACCACCTTTGTAGGTGGCTGTTTCCATTATGCAAAGATCGGGCTTTCAGTGTGAAGTCTTAGAATGCAGGTTCACATCTGCAGCCTCGTGTTTGTGGTTGCCACGTGGTGAGGGCAGGGATGCTGAGCTTGGCGCCCAGGAGGAAGGAGCTTGCCAGGACTCTGCAGGATCCTGGGCTTTGGGGTTTGACATCCCTGGTGCTCAAAGTCGGATCTATTCTCCATTCCTCGTAGCAGCCACTAAGCCCAGTCCATGCCTTCTGGTCCTGAGCTGGGGCCTGCCTCCTGAGGGGTTCCAGAAAGAACCCAGTCTCCTCTTTCTGTTGGGATCCTTGTTACAACAAAAAGCCCTCCACTTGAGGCTTATAATTCCCAGCTAGGTTTATACACTTGTCTATATTTTATTGGAAGGGAGGGGGTTAAAAGAAAGAACTCTGTAGTTCAAGACCCTTTCATTTAACTGTCAGAAAACAGCAAACTCATTTTAAAGACTCATTGCTCAGGTGATAGAAACTTTATCCTCTCCAACCTTTACATTCTCAAAAACCAGCCTGTGTACTTGACCGCCCCAGACAGCGGTGAGCTCTTAGGTTTCATCATGAATGTGGAAGATCAGAGTGGGGGGAGGCCTCGGTGGGGCTCATGTTGGGTTTCTTACCCCCTCTGGAATGCCAAAGGCATGACACTGGGTGACTCCTCGGTCCCCAAGAACATGTGATTGATTCTGAGGGCCAACTGCCAACGGAGAACCAGCCCTCAGGCAGGCTCAGCCATTCCGGCAGAAGCTGGGTCACAGATGTCTGGTGGGGCCCGGCAACCCTGGTTTCACCCAACACCAGAATCCCACTTTTCTAAACCCGCCTGTTCTTGAACACTTCTGAACCCGCAGCTTTGGCAAAAGGACTGTCCCAAGCTGCCTTTGGACGACCAACACTGGAGACTCTGGCCTTACCATGTGGAAATAGTTTTCCTGAAGTCTGGAACTAATTTTGAGAAGTTTTTTTCTCGACACTTTTGTGTTTCTAACACTGTATTCTTGACTGTGTAAATACCGACAAGGCTGTAAATAAATGCAGATGTAGATACCTTCTAGAAAAAGAAAAAAAAGGCATAAAAACAAAACCAGAAGTGATCCCGTGTAGCCTTCGTTGACAAATAAAAGAATATTTTGTGTTTAAGGTGTCTGGTGGCCTTTGTTCAGAAAGTAGCGACTGCCTGAGCTAGTCCTCTGAGTTTGCACTTTTGGACGCTGCTGTTCTTGGGATGCCCTGGAAGACTCAGGTCCTTGGCCCCAGAATCCCTCGTAAGCTGCCATCAGCATTTCCAGAGGCCACATGACCCTGGGACTTAGCCTCATGAATGTCATCATGCTGTGACATCAGCTATGTCCCAGGGCTCCCCCAGGCCATCCCGCACCCCCCCCCCCCAAGGTGATGTCTTCACTGGCCTCAGGGACAGACTCCGAGGGGCAGGAAAGC